AGCTGCTTGCCAGCGAAGTTCAGGTGGTGCTGGTCGGGCGGGATGTTTTCCTTGTCCTGAATCTGGACCTTGACGTTGTCGATCGTGTCGTTGGCCTCAGCATCCAGGGTGATCATCTTGTCCGCCCAGGTCTTGACAGAATTCTGCACATCGCCTTGCAGACAAAACGTCAAGCACGGGGTGGGCTCCTGCTGGAGGTTGTGACCAAGGGTATACCTGTCCTCTAGCTGCTTGCCAGCGAAGTTCAGGTGCTGCTGCTCGGGCAGGATGTGTTCCTCGTCCTTTATTGCCTCGACCATGTCGAGGAGGTCGTAGTAGCGCTCGGTCGGGGGCTCCTCGTCCTCCGAGTCCACGCTGTACACATAGTCCGGGTTGTAGTCGGCTCCACCCCCAATGGGCGGCCAATCAAAACTAGTGACGAACACACCGAAAAAGTCGTCATGCCACCATTCCTTCCCAGTACCATGGGCAATCATAGGCAGCTGTAGATAATATTCAGCGGGGACCAACCGAAAAAGCCCCGTATAATACTTCCGCAAAGGGACGGGCGGATCATATCTCACTCCTCGTTGGGAGCTTCCGTCGGTTCCGGGATCCCATTCTTGGCGAGCTGGGAGATTGCATCGTCCTCGTCGTCCGTCAGGAGGTCCATCACCTGTGCCGAGGCGCTGGCTCTGCGCTGTGCAAGCTTCTCCGCAAGTGGTGTGCTCCCCAGTTTGGGCGTCCCGGGATTTCTTCCCGTCATCTTGACCGCCACTCGCTGTTGTCCAGCCTTTCGCGAGCGCTTTTTGTCTTCCGGCTCGGCTGTTGATGGCAACGTGGGAGCGGATGGGGATGTCTGGTAGGGGTCGTCTGCGGCATCCGCTCCGGCACTGTACGTCAGCTTCCCCTTCTCCTCGTCGATCTCCATCTTGACTGGTACCGGCGTTTCGGCTCGTCGGGCTCGGGCAGGTGGGGTCATGGCCGGGGTACTTGTCGGCTTTCTGGGCGGCGTCCGAGCCTCGTCCTGACGGCGAGCCTTGAGCAGCCGGGCGATCTGTTCTCGCGTAGATCTGCGGATCTCCTTGTCGTTCTTGAGGAGGGAATCTATCATACCAGAGACTCCTTGCTGGTCCTCTGCATTGATGAGCTTTTCCCATTCCTCTGCTGCAGCCGGGGGGTAAACTTCGGCAGGGCCACGTACGATCTCCTCCCCGTTGAAGACGGCCTGCAGGTCTTCGAGGGCCTCCTCCAGGGCATCCTGCTGCTCTTGCTTTTCTGCATGCAGCTTGTCGTTGCGCTCGTGGAACTTGGTCCGCTCCTTGAGGAAGGTCGCCTTCATCTCGTCCTGGAAAGCCGCCCATTTGTCCGCCAATTCCTTGGTGTCGCTCTCGTTGCGTCGTATCTTGGTCTCGTACTTCCTCACCAGATTGAGCTGCTTCTGCACCGAGCCAACAAGTGTACCCGCCTTGCCTTTGCCCTTGCTCTGTCCTGCAGCCGTATCTGACGCAGTCTGGTCCTCTCGAACAACCATGCTGTCGAAGGTGGGGAAGCGGGCCGCATCTTTGCTGCCCTGCTGCTGTCGGCTTGTCGTCGGCCATCTGGTTTCCGACGAGTATCCCTGCCAACCATAATCTGAGCCATCTTGCCGCCATTCTCGTTCGCCTCGTTGTCCCTGCCATCCGGAGCGTCTGCCCATGGACTCTTTATAGCGGGGCTTCGAGTGGTGGAGCTCCAGCAGCCGTATGGCAGCCTGTGGTGGCTGACGACCCAGTCTGCGAGCAGAATGAATCGCCCGGCGAGCTTTTGCTCGCTGCAGCCGCCGCCTTCTATGCCAAGGAGGCGAAGAGGGTATGGCTGGTCACGTGCCTCGCTAACTAGCTCCGGCACTGGGGTCACCGGCTATTCCGACAAGTCGGCTCGATCCGGGACGCCTACATACATACATACATACA